ATACGGGTCTGATTTCTTCAGTTTCTCAGTGTGAATGTATTAATAATTCAGTAACTCGCTTTGTTTTTTCACAGACTTCATTGCTAGATCAGAAGAGTTTGATCTGTTAAACCAGAACTATTCCAGAGATTTTTGCCTATGAGAGAGAAATGCTAACTCCATTTATTTACTCTAGGTCTGACTTAAATATGTGGATCCCAACTGTAAAAAGTCAGGGGGTCGCAACTTACCCACGTCTCAGTCATATATTACTTACCCAATCCTTGTACCTGTTGGATGGAAACACAAGAAGTTTTTACTCTTTCCTTTTAAGTTTGTTAGTCTAAGTGCTGCTATTGACGACATGGGCCATGTTCTTTTCACACATTTAACAGTGTTTAGGAAGAAAATGTTCTGCTCTGCGGTGATTCATGTCATGGACTCAAGGGAGTTTCTCTGTTCACATCAGGCCCGTTTCCACTACATAAACCTTTTCCAGGAACTAGGGCAGCTTTTTGGGTCCCGGCATAAAGGTTTGGAAATTTATTAAGTGGTTATAACTGCAGTCAAATGTGACTGAAGCTCAATTATATTAATTCATTAATGAGGTGTTATTTCACTGATTTCTTGAAAAATCTCTAGTTTTTTCCCCTCCATCTCACCTTGAAATCCGGGATTTACTGGGAGGAAGAAATCAGCCTAAGACGACTTTGTGTTTTTATAGTGTTGCTTGGATCAGTTGGCCTCTGTGCATGCGTGTGCATGTGTGTGAAAAGGAAAATGAGAGTGAGCGCACAAAGAGCCCTGGGGAGAGATGGCTTACCTCCTACAGACCACCTCCCAGAGTCCCAGCAGGAGGGAGATTAAGTTACAGCCAACCTTAGAGGGGGCCGCACAAAATCTGGAGACATACACATTCTTTCACCCTCCTAAATACCGCTTGGAAAATAAAATATTGCACAATATGATTTTATACCCTGAAGCATAATCATCTTTTGGTTGATAGACATGTTCTCTAAAGCAGACGGGTCTGAAACCCAACCCTCCCTGTTCTGATCTCCTCAGATCAGATCAGGTGAAAGATCAGGCGGTCAGGGCCGGGTCAGCCTTGATCCGTGTGCTTTTAGCCCCAGAACACAGAGGTGTTGAAACACGCAGCCCTGCCTTTGACCTGATGCCCCTTCTATGCTGTCTCAGTATGTTAACCCGCCCAACTTTCATCCATCTTTGACCCAAACTTACCCTCAAACACACACACACACACGCACACACACACACACAGAGACTTAAGAGTCTTCAAAGGGACTTGTGTTTACAATTCAGGACTCAGGTTGGAAAGATTTACACGAGGAGATAAATGATAACGCTCGCAAAGACACACACAAACCTCCCTTTGAGGAATCTTCCTCCACCACTTCCTCCTCACCCTCATATATCCTCGCTGCGGCCCCTGCGATCTTCCCTCCTCTCCTCCCTCCCACTCAGCTGCTGTAGTCTGTGTTTACTCGGCGAGAGATTGAGAGAGGGCCCAGCGAGGGACAATGCTGCCTTTCAGAGACTCTGCCGACCCCATGGCTGAGCGAGGAAGTCTGCATGGGGGCCAGCCAACACCCCTTCCTCAAACTTCACAGCCACCCACAGCAAAGCTTTACACACACACACACATCTCACAAGCATGCACGGACAGAACGCCATAATCTTCCCTTGCCTACATCACTCCCACTCTCTGCTGCACGGCCCTATTTGTTACACTCTTTCTTACAAGCCCCTTCTCAGTGAATGCTGTTTCAAAGATTTAGCCAAAATCCTGCAAGTCCAGTCCAAGATCCACACACACATTGAGTCACTTCCCACTCAGACTGACTGAGGGTAGGCAGAGGTGAACTACATCAAAGGGACTCGCTAAGATGAGTATAAATAATAATAATAATACAGCTTATAAAGATGCTTTCAATGCATTCTTCACATTTATAAAGTTATTTTCAGTTATAAATCCAAATTATTATGGGTGAATATTTGTTTGTTGCTATGTTCTACATATTCTGTAGTAAAATTCAACACTGCACATCAGTGTTGAATACAACATCCTCACAGTGAAACATGGTGGTGGCAGCAGCATGCTGTGGGGAGGCTTTTTATCAGAAGGAACAGGGAGGCTGCTTATATACAGGGAATTCTTGGAATAAGCTGCCAGAGGCTGCAGAGTTCTTGAGACTGTGGGAAATATTCACCTTTGATACAACCAGAAGTGGAATGGAAGGTTTAGATGTATTCATATCCAGGTTTTCAAATGGCCTGTTCCAAGTCCAGACGTAAATCCAATAGGAAAACTTGAAATGCTTTCAACTCAGATTGATTTTATCCAGCAAAAATCTTAGTCTGAACACTCGCAACTGTTGAAAAGCCAAAGTAATACGACTTTAATACCACTGTACATAGGAGGTCAGTGTTTACTTTATCAGGCCTATGTTTTCCATAAACTCACATGGTAATCTTTTATAATCAAGAGACCTGAAACATTGTTCTAAATAAAACAATAAAATGAAACCTCAAAACTGCACAATCTGCAGACTTTTAGAAATTGTTTATGCTACCAGGTCTCATATCCACAAAAGATAAGTAGCCAAAACATACAAACAAGTAATTCCATGCACAATTTACGCAAAAGAAACTAATTACATTCATCAGACCTGTCTAACCTCACCTTGATGCTCCTGTCTTCTGTTACAGCACAACAAATATAACACTTTTTGTCATGCGGTCAGCTGAAAAAGTGACAGGTTGTTTGTTTTTAACACATCACGCTGCTTCTCGTGTATTCATCTGGTAAAATTGACCCCGACTGAAGGCTGCGCAATGTTTAGATTTTGTCTTTGCGATGAACACGAGTGTCTATTTTTGCTGTAAGATCAAACTGACAGAAGCATAATGCAGCTCTGTGTATATACACACTCTGCTTCCCTGCTTGCACCCCCTCTGAGTGTATTATCATCGTCTTATCTTTGGCTGACGGGGGTCTCTGGACCCTCTGGTGATCCCCTTTGTCTGGATATGCATATGCAAGCCGAGGCCATCACTTGTTGGGATGGTGAACCTGCTCACCTCCATGCTCCATGCCTCCCAGACACAAGGCCATCGACTCGTGTGGCTCCCGGCCAGTTGCTCTTAAAGCCCACCATTCACTGCAAACTGTGGCCTGTATGAGTCTGTGTCAGCATTTGTGTGAAGGAGAGCGGAAGGACACATGAAATTATGGCTTGATTAATTACTTCTGTGCATGGATGGATTTATTTGAGTGCCTGGTTTAGATGTGTGTCAGGATGTAGGGCTGCATGTCTGTTTGTTACCGTGTTGTGAAGAGGCTTTTGAGGAGATGTGTCCATGTTTGTTTGGTGAGGTGGAGCAGTGAACCCTAAAGCATTGCCCTCTGAGGTTTTGGCTTTAAATCAGCAATACAGCAGTAGTACCGCCTGGATGTGTTATGTAGAAAACTTCTGACGATGTTAAAGAACAGAATCACCTCTTTATGTGAAATCAGTGTTAAATCAGTGTGCCCCAGATTTATTGTTATGTACTCATACTTAATCAAAGTCTTGTAAAAGTATTCTTACCTCTTGAAAATGCTCCCATTTTTTGTCATGGTAAAACCACAAAATTCACTGTGTGTGATAGGAATTTTAAATGATAGAGCAACACAAAGACAGAAAAAACACTAATATTTGTTTCAGATCAAAACTGAAAATGTTTGGCACATTTGATCTGATTTATTGTCATATTTGTTTGAATTTGATGCAAGTCTTTTACAGAATCACCTTTTCTTTTGGGATACATCTCTTTTCTTCTTTGCAAAACAACTCAAGCTACGTCAGATTCTGCTTCCGATCATTAACTTGTTATTATCTCACATATTAACATACTTTAATTGGGGTTTTTGTTCTGGTGGAAATGAGTCTTAATTTATTTCTTTCTCATTCGTTAAGCAGTTTCTTTTATGTGGTAGTGGCAGCATCATGATGTGGGGTTGCTTTTCTTCAGAAGAGCAAGGGAAGCTGGTCAGAGTGTTTTACCGTGTTTTACTGTAGGAATTGTGTGTTCAGGGTAATGTGCACCCCTGTTGTCTGTGTAAACCAAAAGGTTTCATTTTTCCACATTTTCGGTGAAGATTGTGATTCTAATATGCCGTAAGGTGAAAAAGCACAAATTAACGATATAAAGGAATGCTAAAAGTCCTGCGACTAAGGAAGAGGACAATTAAAGTCCCAAGTAACAGCAAGGCCTCTGGCTGGATTCAGAGGTCAGTGTGCTTAGAGCAGAGAGGAGGTGAACTGAGCGGGTACAGCTGGAGCTGAAGGCCTGCGGCGTTGGTGGCGGGTCTCAAAGGTCCAAGTTGGAAGGTGCACTGGGGGGATGTTGGGATGGGTTACACTGGTGGAGGGCCTGATGCGACAGTGTTTAAAGGCCAGCAACTGGCCATGGGGTGAGGTGAAAAAGGCCCAGTGGAGGGGGTGACCATCTGGATCGGATTGTAGAAATTCCTCAGGAAGAGTGTGAGAGTAAAGGTCAGGGTGGAAAAAGAGAAGGGGGTCACTGAGTCCTCATCGTGTGTGTATGTGTTTATTTTTCTTTCTCAGTGTTTCAGATTTTGATTGTGGTCGGTTTGCCATTGTTGGAGAGTGCTCCCTGCCCAGTGGGGTTGTGGAATGTGAGATACTTTTTAAACAAAGTTCATGTGGGAAAAGTTGCAGGTGTGAGAACCTGCCCTCTGCTGTCTGATGCTCATAATCTTGGACTGTTGAATTTCTGTATGTTAGTTACTAAGCGATTTGAAAATAGACTAATCTCCAAAAAGTCTTCATCCATTTTCTCTTGCTACAAACACAAACCCCACAAAGTGGCACACAAGTGGAAGAAAAATGACAAATGGTTTCTAAAGCTTTTTTATATATATATATATATAAATAAAAAAGTGAAGTCTAAAGCATTGAAAGTGTGATTCCTTACCTCAGTCCCTGTTTTTGCAGTTGGGAGGTCAGCGGGTTGCAGCCATGCTGTCGCTGGACGAGCCCCTGGACCTGAAACTACCTCGGAGGGCAAACGGGAAGGACAGGGGAACCCGCTCTCCTCTGCTCTCACCGCTGCATCCCAAGCGGGTCCGCCAGTTGCATATGACGGATGATGGGACAGCAATTATAGAGCCCGCTTCACCTGCATCTCCACAATCAGGTAAGTGGTACCCAGGCGATGCCAGGGACCAGACACACTGATGTTGGCTAGTTCACTTGGCTGAGTCACTTCTGCACAAAACTGATGGAAATAACTAGCAGTGAAGAAAAGCTATAATCAATACTTGGGCCAGACAACTATGCAGTAGTTTTTGTAATTACTTTGTAAAGTCCAACAAACAACAGGGAGAAAGAAAAGCTCTTTGTGAGGAAAGGTGGTTTTAACCTCATGCAGTGTCCTTCACGTTAAGTCTATTGCAGTTTATGAGAACCTGGGCAACTCTGAATCTGAAAGGCTGGTGTCTCTCCTGTTTTAATGGTTTTCTTGTTTCAACACAATTAACTTAAAAATGCTTCCGCAGATAATGTCAAGGGCTATTGCAGAACATGACCTCTCTTAATTGTTAATAACTTTTCCAAACGTTATTTCTTTGAGAATTAGCATTATCAATCTTCGACAAATTAAGAATAAACCGGTTTTTCTACGTCACTCTAGGACAGATTTTGTCAGTAATCATGAGAACTGTGGAAGAAAGCTAGATTCAAGTGGAAAAAATGTAACTAAAAACCTGGAGGTAAAACCTTTATCCCCCTGAAACATGTCATATCTGAAATAGGGTTGAACAGGACAAGTTAGAATAGAATAGAATAGAATAGCATTTATTGTCATTGAACAGGATTCAACGAAATTTCTATTGCAACTCCCATGCAAAAAGTCAAAATATACAATATTAAATAAACAACACACAATAATAATAATAATATATACAACTAAAATTAACTAAAGGCACTCAACCACACCAAGAAGAAGCAGCAGGTCCAATTATGGTAAAGTGCAGTTCAGTGTCCCTGTAACAGGTATCTCAAGAGTGTCATCACTCCAACATGAGTGGAATTTCTCAGGTGTGCAGGTGGTCCCTTACGACCGGACTGACACCCCAACTCCTCCTGCGGTGGACCTGAGCATGTCTCCCTCCTCCAGACACACCCCCAGCTCTCCAGAAATGAGCAACGGCAGTTACGTTCCCTCAGGCGTGAGTATGACATCCAAGTTCCTGCAAACACTCCAGTGTAGGACAACTCAACGATGCCACATTTTGTCACATTACTACAAATACAAGCCACAAGCATTCAACATCCAGTCGCATTGTTCAGCCCGTCATCTGAAAACAGAAAGAGTATGACACAGTGGAATGTTCTGTGTTGCTAATTCAAGTTCAACTCAAAAATACTTTATTTTTTTATAGATCCTCTCTGTCCAATTTGACTGAGCGTGAACCATTTTGCAAAGATGTAATTACATCTAAAAATACTTACAGTGGTAATCACAGTTAATTTTGTTTTTACAAATTTATGAGCAGCGTCGAGATTGTAAAATTTTTAGGCCACTGTATGCAGTCAAAGTTTTACGCTGTCCTTCTGTAGCCTGACTCAGGATGTTTGGGTCATCAAATCAGGGGCAACATCAAGTTGTGTCACACTGTCACAGGGGAATTCAATTATGCAAGGTTAGGGAGGCCTCTGCCCCTAAGAGGGGAAGGGAAGCTCTTATCAAACCCGACTTGTGTCCCCAACAATTGCCTTTGTCTGTGCAACATGCACTCATTGGCCCCGTTGGGCTGTTGTGTGTGTGCGCGTGTGTGTAATCAGATTTAAGACAAAACTGCGGCCATGCAGACCTCATGCCGCCTAATTTAATTTCAGTGCAATTGAATTGAATTGCTAAGGCAGTTAAGCCACTCCTCTGTGTTTTACTTAACGCCCTGAAGCTACCGCAGCATCCTTATTCTTAGATAAACCTCCATCACTATCTTTCTTGCAGTTTCTCACACGTTTGCCATCAGGAAAACACTCGCTTTCTTCTTGTAAAAAAAAAAGCACAGTATGTGTGTGTGTTTCCAAGATTTTAGATTTTTAACTCGTTTCATTGAGATATCTGCTTTTTGCTTGAGCAAGAATTCACTGCAGGTTACTCTCAGCGTGGGAAAGCCTGGGCATTATCTCTCTGCGGCTCAGAGAGTCTCTCTGCTCTTCGGCAGAGGTTTGGGATATAGTGAGATTTGCAGCAGGACACTACTTGAAGAAAATGGAATGGGTTATAAGTTTAGTGGCTTTTTTAGCTTTTTAGTTAACTGGCAATCAAGCCCTTATTACCTGTTTTTCAGCAAAGTATCCACATGCTCCTCCTAATGTGAAAATTATCTTAAATTAAGTTTATATAGGATTGTCTCAAAATGTCAAATTTAGAAAAATCCAACCATTTTTAGTGCATAAAATACTGATAACACAGGTTTGGCAATAGTTTTTAGTCTTTGCCTTTAACATTTCACAAAGTCGCATTGAGGCAGGGATTTTTAATCAATCCTCTGCATATTTTCTCAGAGCCGCTCTGTGTTGATTTGGTTATTTGGCCAATGCATAAGGCTTACTGAGCCTTTTGGAAAATATACAGCCCCCAGAATCATAGATCCTCCACCTTACATAAGTGTGGGAATGCATTTTTCTGCTTCATACAACACCAAACACACTTCGAATTTTTGTTGCAGAAAAGTTCAATCTTACCAAAAAATTCAGTTCTAGTTCCTTAAAAAAAACTTAGCAGACATTCTCTCTCTCTCTTTTTTTTTTAACTGTTCATCAGAATTCTCACATCTCGCAGGCGTTTCAATTCTTTGTGCCAATTGGTCCTGGAGCAGGACTTCACCTGCCATCCTCCATGTTCATTGGCCAAACGAGTGACAAGCGGGCTTCCCCTGACCTTTCAGCGGATGAACAACTTGCATGTCGCTGGAAAAAGGTAGACAGGGATTGCAGTTTGATATTGAGAAACCTTTATCACCTTTTACGGTTTTCATACAATGTTTCCCCTCCTTTAGTGCCACCTGCTCTTTGACTCGCTACAAGATCTTGTGGACCATGTCAACGACTTCCATGTGAAACCTGAGAAGGACTCTGGGTACTGCTGCCACTGGGAGGGCTGTGCTCGCAAAGGAAGAGGGTTTAATGCCAGGTGAGGAAATCATTCGCTGAGGTCTATAAGAGCAAATCAGATATTCCGTTTTAAAACCAAGAACGTTTTACGTTTCTTTTTTGCTTGCAGGTACAAAATGCTCATTCACATACGTACTCACACTAACGAGAAACCACATCGTTGTCCCACCTGCAACAAGAGCTTCTCACGCCTGGAGAACCTCAAGATACACAACCGCTCGCATACAGGTCTGTGTTTGGCTCCCAACTATCAATAAAGCTAAAATACAAGAAAAATAAAATAAATCACCTTGGACAGTGTTTGATACACAGCTAAAGATATAATTATTTTTCAAACTTTTTCTTTTGCAGTTGTGATTTGGTGTTTACCTTACATAAGTTGTTTTCGTGTCCAAAGTCAAAAACTATATTAAAAAATTATCTGCAGATATAAAACGATATTGTGTACCAAGAAAGGACTTATAAAAAGTAAACCTGAGAAACGTTATGGTGGTTAGTCTTTAAGCGCCACTGTCTTGCATGTCTTAGACGTTGCCCTGGTTCAACACGTATGAATCAAACACATGGTTTATTAGCAGACCTCTGCAAAGATAAGTGACATCCTGCAGAGGCAATTTGAATCAATTGTGTTGGATCAAGTAGGCATCTTATACCTGAAACACTGTGAGTGAAGAACTTGAGCTACTTATCCCTACTAAATGTTCACAAAAATATGGTTGTATATGTGAGAGAGTTGAGAGCTCCATAGGCTCTTTCTGTGTTAGTAAAGGTTGAGGGTGATTATTTTCTTTTCCACACTTAGGGTTTTTGAATTTATGGCACTTAAAAGCAGTGATATTTGCCGTTTATAATTAGTGTGTAAAGAAAGCATTTCTTCAATGTATTTTTTGAAGGATACACATAAATTCTCATGTGGAAAATCTCTCCCCTCTGCAGGTGAAAAGCCCTACATTTGTCCTTACGAGGGTTGCAACAAGCGCTACTCCAACTCCAGTGACCGCTTCAAGCATACACGCACACATTACGTAGACAAGCCCTACTACTGTAAGATGGTAGGTTGCTTGAAGCGCTACACAGATCCCAGCTCGCTGCGGAAGCACATCAAAGCGCACGGCCACTTTGTGGCTCAGGAGCAGGGCCCTCCAAGCGGGGTCGGCTCTCTGCTGAAGGGAAGCCAGAGTGGAGGACCTTCTGGCACTGGCAGTAAGGATTCAGAATTGCCCTATGTCAGCGGAGCGCACATCATCATCCCCGGAGCAGCTGCCGCTCTACTGGGAGGCCACACCTTGCAGGGCGTAGGCGGTACACTTCCCTTGTCCCCTCTTAGCCCAAGGCCCCTGGACCTCACCACGCTGGGGAGCCCCAATTCATCTCCAGCCAGCCTAGGAGGCACATCCATCTTGTCCTTTAACGGCTCCCCTCTGGGCCTGGCTAAGGCTCCTTTACTTTCCTCTGCCTTTCCTTCCTCGGCCCTTGGCCTGCCAATGGTCCCGGTGCTGGGCCCCACTTCAGAGCGTCGGCCCCACAGCCACCAGGCAAAGAGAGGCAGAGGAGATGAAGCAGAGGATGAGATGGCGGGGAGGGTCCTGAACCTCTCCACAGGTGGGTCTCATGATCCCCTATCCTGGGTGGTCATTCCCCCAGGCGCTGTGGTGCTCAAGCCAGCTGTGGTTAACTGATACAAACACACGCACACACACTCTCTCTCTATCTCACACACATTCCAGAAGAGCTCAGGGGGTTGATGCCATAGGGAGGGTGTTGGATGTCAAAGGTGACATGGATTGGCTTGAACAATCAATTCCAGGCAATGCATGACAAGGTAGGAGTTTGGAAAAAGACACACATCACCTCACACAATTTAAGAATAAAACGCAAGCCTCTTGTATTGTTGAAGAACTAAACTTGAGGCCCAAGATCTGTGTTCAGGAATATGTACGCTCCTGGATTTATATCACAAAGCCTTAAAACAAGGCTCCTCTTTGCTTTCTTATTTTACACTTTACTCATTCTGGTTGGTTCTGTGGAAAGGGACCGAAAGCATGACAGTCTTAGTGCTCTGTGTTTTTAAAAATATGTATTTTTCATCTTTGAGTATTTATATGACTGTACTTTGACAGCTTAGTGCTGCGGTAGGGTGCCTCACAAAAATATTCACACCCTTTGAGGTTTTACACATTTTGCACCAATGCAACTACTCCCAGGCATTAAGCAATTCAGATTTACATTAAAGCAACTGCGTTGCAAATGAAAAACTAAAAGTGTGATGTATCTCTATTTTACTTTGATTTTCCAGTGCAACCAAGTACAGCAGCATAAGCACAGCTGTTCTGTGGAGGCCTTTAAGGTCTGTTGGAGAACATTAGTAGAGTTTTACGAAGACCAACCAGCACAAGACAGAGATAAAATGATTTGAGAAAGTTGTAGTGGTTTTTTTCCAGGAAGACAACAACCCTAAACAGCAAAAGCTAAACTATTCTTGTTAGAATGGTCCAGTCAAAGTGTAATGACTTTGGCAACGGGTAACAAGACCTAAAAGCGTACATTCAAGGTAGATACAATGTATTACTATGCAATAAATTGTGTTGGTTTGCATGACAAAAAATATATATATAACAGTTTTGTTGTTTAAAAAGACAAAATGTTAGGAAGCTTAAGGGGTTTGAATGCATTTTGCAAGGCACTGCAGGCACCACAAAGGAAGCACTCATACACCCACGTGTAATAGAAAGATGATTCAAATGTTGTGAACATTTGAAACATTTTTCAACATAAATTTGACAAACTTGCCGAACCAAAGCAAGTGAACTTATTATGTCTTATACTTCATTTAAACAGAGCGCTTAACAGTGTCAACTTATAGTATTGAAACTTCAGAACTGCTGCTAATATTTCCTGCTCCTCCTGCTTCATAAACAGAGCGAGAGCACTTTTGACAATCCGTCCCCGGTCTTGTGGAGGGTAATGAACACAGACCAGACCGGGGGCCGAACGAACAGACAAACGGTGTTAAGCCACCTTGCAATGACCAACCATTACTTCCTCCCTTTTTTCACAAGTGAAACTTTAGGCACTGGTGTGTCCGAATCCCCCTGCTGGCAGGAGTCAGGCCCTCCCGACTCACAAAAACCAGCACTGTTCAGCTCCTGGATTGTTCAGCTGCTTTACTGTAATTCAATCAACGGGATCTGGTTGTGTATAAAAGGCCCTCAGTGGTGATGAACACTACAGTCTTGTATTTTTTAAGCTAAAATGACCCCAAACCAGCTGTGAAAAACAGGTGGTGGGCCTATCTACATGAGGTTTGACCCCAATGAGTTTCAGCCGTGAAAAAAACAAAACAAAACAAAACAAAAAAACAAAGAGGGAATGTTCACGTTGTTCCACAGCGGGAGATGGGATACACTCAGTGCTGCCTACAGCTGGACTGACTAGGACGCCACACTATCTCAAACTGCCTCATTTCAGTCTGCCCCAAAGGGCAAACATGTAAAAACAAAAACAACTTCTGGGAAACACTTCATGGTTCGATTAAGCAGTAAACATGCACTTACTAAAAGCTACATCATTTCTAAAATGTTATATTTAAAGAAAATAGCTCTTATTTCAGTCCCCTCACAAAATTCAGTTTTTTGTTGGGCGTTTCGTCAGACTTGAGTTGCTCATGCAGCCATAGTGTTGACAGAGGATGGGGAGCAGAAGAGGATCCTTAAAACTAAACAGACTTGCATCTCTCCTCGCTCTTCGTCACTCATCCGTCTCTTTGGTCTATGTTTGCTGACGTTGGCTGTTTTTGAGTGTGATTTTTCATTTTCAAAACTTAGGAGCAAAAGTTTTCAATTTGAGAGCAAGACATTTTATGCCATTGCGCTCCCCTGCATAACTCTCCTTTTTTAAAGCATGAGGTGTAGGATTCATACAGGAGCAGAAGATAGTTGTGCAAAAGGGAGAAAGCAGATTATGCAGTGCCTCTTTTGCAGCAGAACATATAAATGTAATCAGATAATATTATTTCAAGGGCAATATAAGGGCAACACATTATCCAAAATCAAGAAAAATTCTCCTCTCAAATTGAAAATAATATGCTCATTTTTTTTTTTGCAGGAAAATCCCCTTATAACTGTTTTATTTACCCGTTTCTATTTTATATTTTTGCCATTACTATGACTTTTTTTTTTTTTTTGCAGATGTTCAGACGAGACATTTTCTTTGTGATGTTGAAGTTGCCTCTTGTGTTCTGCCATGGCTGCTCTACAATCAGGTTTCTGCTGCCGGGAATGAGTTTGTGAAGGGGTTGAAGTTGGGGGAAAAATTTTTTTGGATGGCTTTCCAGAGCTGTAGATTCCAACCCGAGGCTGGCACTTCAAACGGATGGTTAGATCGATCAGAAACATCAACAAGTTCACTTAAATTTTAAACTTGTGGAAGTTTAGTTCTGCAAGAGCCACAAAGACACTTTTTACAAACGGATGGTCAACTTTTTCGACTGATTGGCAGCTTGAGAGAAAAGAGAAAGGGTTATCAGGATGAGAGAATGGTCAGGGGAGCTATCAGCGTGTAGGCTGCGTGCCAGCAGAGGAAAAAAAAAAGAAAAAAGCAACTTGCAGCCATTCTGTGCTGCCGCTCTCCATCTGGCCACCCACCCACCAAACGGCCCTCTCAGCTCTGAAGTCACCGGCTGCGCTGGGCCCACTGTGGCAGCCTCTCACAGAAATACCAGCCTGCAGAAAACTAGGCCACTGAACTCTTCCTGCCCTCTCTCTCTTCTGTTACCCATCTTCTTTAGATTAAACCCATGGCTCAATTCCACCACCTCCTGGTTACAAAACATTTACCAAAGAACACTAAAGTACACCAAGAATTAGTCTCACATTAGAGCAGAAAAATGTTAATAATGTAACCCATTGAGGTTGTTTTTTTTTTTTTAATCAGAATGCCTGCAGGTCTTTCAAGGCTATGGCAAGCCATTATACCATATAACCAAAACATGCTATATCAAATTGCTATTGTGCATTCTATTGTTCTCTGTATTCATCTTAATTTATTAAATTACTTTTCTTTTTTTTTTTTTTTTGCTGACAAACTGACATTTCAGCAATCAAAATCCATTAAAACTGATTATTTAGAAAAGTTCAAGATGTCTGTTCCTTAAAAGTAAACATTTTACCATTTAATGTCTAAGCTTGGCACGTTATGCACACAAACCATTCAACTGCTAATGCTTAAAAAGTACACACTCATTTTGATTAAATTAAATGCACTTTGAACATGTCTATTACATGATAAGTGGCTTGCCATACAAGTTGTGCTGCAAAGCTCCTTCCCACCTCCACACACAGTTTGGAGCCGTCTGACATTCACTCTGCGGAGTGAATGGACAAACCTCGCATGTAACGTCGTCAGAAAGAGGCGTTAAGTAAGCTGGACATGGTTTCCATGGCAACGGCAGCGCCAACAGATGCTGAAAGAGGCCAGGGACAGAGACTCGGTGCCGGCAGCAGAAATCTCAGCACGACACGGGTCCAAACGGGATCCACACATTTTCGATGTTAAGTAAGCTGTATGATCCATTAACCCTTTGAACTCAGCCTGTAATAATCGGCACTCCCGCACCCTCAACTGTATACGTTTGGGGATGCCGTCACATTATTTTCCAATGTCTAAGCTGTCTTTGTGTTGTTTTTTTTGGGAAATAGTCGCTGCAGAGTCTCAAGTAGGGCTCTGTTTTCTTATAATTAAACATTTTTAAAAGTGGTACGGACTCCTGGAGTTGCTACAAAATCCCAGATGCCAGGAGACAAAAATGACTCGCATCAGAGGCTCGCTTTGCTGGAAGTGCCACAGTGTTGCACAAAGGGTTAATGATATGACTAAGGCCACAAGAGGCCTGTTCAACTTACGTGTTTTATTTTGCACATTTGTGAGATATTATGTCAGTATTTTAATTTTTCCAAGTGCCTTTTTTATTACAGGTAAATATAGAAGCTATACACTATATGAGAAAAAGTTATATGAAAATATATTTTTCCTGGCACCATGTTCTGTGGTTGGACATGCAGAATTTTAAGCGTTGTAAAAGTCTCCAATTGGTACAACATAGCGGTTTTCTCCTGTTTTAGAGGAATTTTATTACGATATTGATAATAATGTCAATGAAAACAAAATGTTTAATAAAGTTGCATTTGATAAGTGTGCTTGTATTTTTTTTTTTACATTTCTGCATATACTGTTTCTTTCACATGCTGACAATCATATTATCCTAATTTACATTCAACAAAAAGCATTGTGAACCAAGTTTCCAACGCTGCAGTCATAAATGTTATTTTTACAGACACCTATTGTCTATAAAAATAGACAATAATTGCATATTGTATAATGGGAATTCACTGGCACATACAAAAGACTAAAGAAAAGACTTTATTGGGTTATAATTTACATGGGAGATGGGGGAAGAAACTCGCGCTCCAATTTCATCCTTTATGTTTCAGGATTTTGCTGCGACTGCTGATTTTGTTCTTGTTTCTGAATACTTAGCTCCTCATCCAGACGCTCTTTAGCTCGCACCACCTGCAATGCAAGAAAACGGCACATGATTGACCTGCAGTGCAGGATAAAGCAGCTAAAACACGAACACAGCAAACTGTAATTAACAGAATAACTCAACCACCTGGTGTGAGGTGTGAGTCATATTTTCTTAGTGCAGAAACCTGGCATTTTGCTGAGGAAAAATAATTGGGAACATGGTGCACACATCTGCTTTTATACAAAACATGTTCCATTTCAATATTTCATGCAGTGAAGAAGGAAAAAAGGAGAGGAGGGAAGGAAGGGAAGGACACTAGAAAGGAAAATATACAACAAAGCAAGGACGACTAAGGAAGAATAAAAGAATAACAAGGAAACAACAGGAAGGAGGACATGCGAAAAACAGACTACTCACTTTTGATTGCAGATAAAATGAACCTCCCACTGATTTTTCATTGGCTTTGAAAAGGTGCTCATAGTTCTGCAGGAAATAAACAGTTCAGTCAGTGGAAACACACTCTTTTAAATGTAAAAACAGCAAAAAAGAACCCACAATAGTTGTATTCATAATCCAACTCATAATTAACCAACTTGATTATAAACACAGTTAAAGATTTATGACATTGTATAATTTAAAAAGCTTTGTGTATTATCATCCACTAGGAAAAACACATGACATCTGAAGTCAATCCTGATATTTAAACCACCAGTTTCTTCGCTACGCTAAACTCCAAACCAAAAGTGAGAGGCTTAAGTGTGGAACATTTATAAAAACCTACCCCACTCTGATTTAAACATGTCAGTAAGGAGGAAACAACGGTTCCTGGTTGTACCTTCTGAATCTCTTCAGGGCTGAGCGTGGAGATGTTGAGGATTTGTTGAGCCTCCTGTAGACTCATCCCAGTGATGCTGGACGCTGCGGCAGACTGCTGCCCGGATCGGCCCCTGGCCCGGGCCGCTGCCTGACTCGCTGGGAGAGGGAGATGCAACAGAGATCCATCCTGAAGAAGTGATGCTATGCCAACATGGCTTGTGTCGGAGAATCCGACTAGCAGACAGATTGTTGTTTTTGCAGAAACACTACAGCTGCTTCTAACTTGAATAAAACTCCATAGTTTTCCAGGCTGTGAAGAGATCTACGTCTCATTCAGTTTTGCTACTGCCATGAATAAACAATGGAAAGAAAACATCATCCAGGGGCAATTTTTGTACATTATAATAAGATTGCTTTTGGGCTGTTATGCAACATGGCTAAGCACTTTCTTTTCAAGGAAAAACTTAGTGGGCTTCATTTAGTCCATGGCACATATATATATGTTAAACATGTTAACATGATCTTTAACAGATCAGGATATTTTTTCAGTCTTAAACGTGCACCTCCTTAAAGGTCCCTTTAAAGATTACATATTCTTTCACAGAGTTGTAGTAACATTTTAATCAAATCCATGACTGCAGACGTCAGGCTCAGGATAACAGAAGCATAAATACCTGCATACTCCTGCTGCAAAGCCCGGGCAAAAGCTCGTCCCACCACCTGAACACCCATCACCACGATCTGAGCGAGGTATTTAGCCTTAAAGAGTTCAGATTAACACAGTTATTAACAGTGTTAGACAAAAACAAAGATACAGTCCTCAACACACAAACCTTCTTATTACTGAAGCTCTTTTGAAATGCGTGAGGTTCGTTATGTAGAGCAACTTAAAGACACAGTAGCATTAAAAACACCGCATTTCGTCACGACATGTTTCAGAGTTAAGGTAGTACATACTCGCATGAGACCTAGCAAAAATAACATGTTCTTACCATTTGTATGTCGCTATACAGCTTACACGGCCGATGTGCCGACTCCTGTTGTCACACATGCACACTGAAGGTTACAGAAGCGTCATAGTTCAAGGAAGACCGACAACTAAACGTTCAAGACGAGTCGTCTTGGTGGCACAGGTTTTAAACATCTCCCTCTGCTGGCGGGGAGGGATGAATGCAGAGTTGCATCATTTTTGGTGACTATCAACTCTGGTGACTCCAGAGGGCGCTGTTGAGAAGCAGCACTTCTCAACATCTCCACTATAATATACTATAGTCGTGATATAGTCGTGATATACTATAGTCGTGATACTAAATTGCAAATTAATCAAACTGAATTATGTGAATATGAGCCACTGGCTTGAGAAATTATCAAGAGAGCCGTTACAGAACATGTGAGCATTTTAAGGCTAACTTTATAGTTTTCACTGTTTAGTATGTCTTTAGGGAAGCAAAGAGTCCAAAAGGACATTCTATGTGTCTGTTCATCATGACAGACCATCACAAACTCCAAATAAATAAAAAATATTTTAGACCTTTCATAAATACAAAGAAGGATATGTCATGCATTTGTATTTAACTTTTAAGAGCTTTTTCTTGAATATGGTCTAGGAAGTAGTTTGAACCTAATGGGAAGATGAATGACGCACATTTGGAAGAATCCTGAAAAACAAACAAACAAACAAAAACATACAAGATGCTGCAAACGACTTGAGACATTGGTGGAGTTTCACCTTGACTCAGCGAACTGAATACAAATGTATGCCACACTTTTAAAATTTTGACTCAAAATTTTTTTTAAATAAAGTACAGTGAACTTTGTGGCTTTAATGCAAGATTGATGAGGTTATAACTAAGAAAATATTTTTGTCTGATGTGCATTTATCTAGTTTGCCATAAATGCAATAGCAATGCTCACCACATTGAGTTAACTGCAGAAAATCAGAGTTCATATGGTGTTTATTGC